CAGTGGGGAAACACTCCCCTGCTCCCCAACACTCCCCCACCACCTTGTTCCGGCCAACCTTCCAATTCAATGGAGATAATTAAAACTCCGCCGAAAAGCCGAGCGGACGGGCCGTTAGACCCAGAGCAGTGTGCTCTGCAATTTACTGACCTGCTCGTAATTAACCTCCTGCCGCCAAAATAGCTGCTGAAAAGAAGTATAAACTTATTAATGGCGACGGTGGCTAATTAAAGCCAAAGCTGCAATTATCCTGAGACGTGGCCGTGGGCAGGAGACTGATGAAAGGCGAGAAAAGACGCTCGATGCAATACATTCGGGAGGACGCGGGGATGCCGAGCGGGGCAGCGCCCTGCTGCCGTGCGCCCGTGCCCATCAGCATCCTGAGCGCCTGCATCCCGATCCAGCTGCCCTGCCCGCTGCACAAAGGGGACGCAGGCGGGCTGATTCGGCGCGGGGGCTACCGGCACGCCCCCCTCTTTGTCTCCCTTTCAAAGCCAATATCTCGACCCCAGATGGGTTAATACATAATGCAGACAAGCAAGTAATTGCTTGCCTTTGTGAGGCCGTCAGCGCTGGGTCCCCGGCCCTCTGATCCCCCATTAGCGGCCATGCAAACAAGCCTTCCACCCAATTAAGCCCAGCTTTGATAGAGCCTTTCCCAATGATGTGGTGGTCCCAAACTAGCGATTCGCACATGAGCCACTACCTGTTAAACCCGGAGCCGGCTTCCTTCGGGGATGAGCATCCCTCGCCTCTCGCCGTGACCCAGCTGCCGAGCTCTGCCCGGCTTCCCCTGGCCCTGAAGGGAGGCTCGGCTGATAAATGATCTCGACAAACTCTATATTAAAGAGGTGGAAATGGGATGTTAATATACCCCAAGCCGCTCATCTCGAGAATACACGGGCTCCAGCTTCCCGAAGATGCCCGTAATGAGGCGGGCTGGGATGCCCGTGAGGAGACCTCGACCCACTGGCCTTCTGCGCCTGCCAGGTGTGGAGGACAGACAGCCCGACACGACAGCCGTCCTCTGAGGCATCTTCACACTGTCCCGCAGAGTCCCCCCGGGTCATCCCCTAAAGCATCTCAATCTGCTCACTGAAAGCATCCCTGCAGCATCCCCTAAAGCATGCCAGTGTGCTTCCCTGGAACATCCCAGCTTTGTCACTTAGCACACCCTGGCATCACCCTCTAAAGCACCTCAGTGTGTTTCTCTAAATCTTCCCAGTGTCATCCTCTAAAGCATCCCAGTAAGCTCTCCTAAAGCATCCCAGCATCATCCCCTAAAAAATCCTGGCATCATACCCTAAAACATCCTGATGTCATCCCCTACAGCCTCCCAGTGTCATCCCCTAAAGTATGCCAGGGTGTTCCTCTGAAACAGCATTATTCCTCTGCACACCCTGGCATTGTCCTCTAAAGCATCTCAGTGTCTTCCTCTAAAGCATTGCAGTGCACTCCCCTAAAACTTCCCAGGATCATTCCCCTAAAGGATCCCAGCGACATTCCCTACATCATCCCAATACCATTCCCTACAGCATCCCGATGTGCTTCACTGTAGTGTCTCACTGTCATCCTCTAATACATCCTGACATCCCTCCATGTATCCCAGACTCATCTCCTAAAGCATCCCAGTGACATTCCCTAAAGCATCCCAGTTTGCTCCCCTACAGCATCCCAGCATCATCCCCTAAAATGTCCCCATACGGTCCCCTCAAATATCCCAGCATATCTCCTTAATTCATCCCACCATCATCTCCTAAAGCATTCCAGCATGCTCCCTGAAAAATCCCAGCACCATCCTATAAAGCATGCCAGCATCATCCCCTATGGCATCTCAGAGTCATTCCCTACAGCATCCCAGTGCTGTCCCTTAATGCATCCCAGTGCCATTCCCTACAGCATCCCAATGTCATCCCTAATGCATCCCAGTGTCATTAACAACACCGTACCAGTATCATGGTGCCATTCCCTAGGTCATTTCAGGGTCATCACCTACACCATACTGGTATCATTTCCTAAAGGATCCCAGTACCATTCCCTACAGCATTCCAGTATCATCCCCTACAGCATCCCAGCACCATTCCTTAGGGATCCCAGCATCATTCCTTAGGGCATTCCAGCATTATCCACTAAAGAATCCCGGTGACATCCCCTAAAACATCCCAGTGACACCCTGTAAAGCATTCCAGTTTACTTCCTTACATCATCCCAGTGCCATCCCCAACAGCATCCCGCTATCATTCCCTGCAACACCCCAAACGATTCCAGCCCCATCCCCTCCATCTCCGCTGCTCCCAGTCCCCAGCATTGCTTCTCCCCACCCCCAGCAGACCCCTTTCTCCCCTCCCCCCCTCCGCCCCATGTGCCGCCACAACCTCTATAAATATTCAAAAAGCCGCGTTTTGCGGCCAAGCTCCCAGCTCGGGGTGGGGGCTCCCGGGGGAAATGTTAATAACGGGGCTGCCAGGGATTCCCCCGGGCAGCGGGAAGGGGGGGCCCAGCCACTCATTTGCCCAGACAAATATCTTGTCGCTCCTCATTACGGTCTTTGTGCCTCAGTTTCCCCCTCGATGCTGCCTAGCGAGGGTTGAGATGATTCAAGAGGAGCAAGGAAGCAGCAAAAATAAGGCAGAATAATGAGGACAACGAAGTGTGGAGGAAGCCTCCCCCCTCGACCTAAAAACTTTGGGAGGTGGGGGGGTGATTTGGGCAAAGCCTGGGCAAACAACCGCTAATCGCCGAATCAAGCGGCAATTAAACGCCGCGGCGGCGAGAATAAATCTGCTAACAAGGAGGCAATGCCCCCGCGCTCGCTGTTTGCCCAGCTGATTAACGGGGATGAATCTGAGGGGGATTATCCATCGGGATGAGGCGGCTCCTTTGTCTCCATTCCCCATCCCGAGCTGCCTCAGAGGAGGTATTGGATGCGCGTGTGTCACCCCCGGGAGCCCATCGATGCAGCCTCAGGACTCATAGCGGGATTAATACAGAGGTGCTTTAATCCCTGGGGCTCCCAAAACCTCCAAGACCCCCATTAAAAACTCTCTCATCTTCCAAGCACTCCATAAAAAGGGACTCAAAAGCTCTCCGGGGATTTAACATCCTTTTCTGTCCTGTAGTCCCGTGTCGAAGATGTCCCATCCCTTGGCTCAGCTCTCCAAAAGGAGAAGGTGGGGAAACATAGCAGCTTTTAATTTTCCACCCTTGCCAACAATTCCCATCCCGGAGTATTATTCAGATAATAGTTGGATAAACCCGTTATTTTACAGATAATTTTTTTTTTTTTTTGATCCTACTGAGAAATCTCTGGGCTGCTGCATCCCCAGCAGGAGAAACGGAAAAGCTTTGTGCTCCCATTAAATTAATATTTATTTACTTTCTCCATGCCCAGCTCAGAGGGATGGATGAATAATGCATCACCCCCCGGACACCCAGATAGGAGCTTTGGATCCGACAGATTCGATGGGATATGGAGAGCCCAGAGGGTGCTAGTGAGGTTGAATGGTCCCAGATGTGCACAGGAGTCCAGATGTGTGCCTGTCTGAGGCCCCAGCACAGCTCTGAGGGAGGAGAAGCAAGGCTGTGCAAGCTCTCCAGATGTGCACTCACCTACCTCCAGCTTATGGCTCCAGATGTGCACAGATGGAAAACACCTGTCTCTCCAGATGTGCTCGAGCATCCCTGTGCCTTCAGCTGTGTGCCCAGCTGTGACCCCGGGGACGCCTCCAGCTGTTTGCCCAAACGCGTGTGCATCCCCCAGACCACCCAACCCTCCCAGATGTGACCATCCCAGAGATCCTTGGTGCCCCAGATGCACATGGAAAAGCCTCCCCTCTCCCCAGCTGTGTCCCAAGAGTCCTCCAGATGTGAAGCCCCTTTGGGGCACATTTGCCCCCTCCCCTCCCCAGATGTCCAAACGTGCTTGGGCCCATTTCATCTGCTGCTGTGCATCCAGATGTGAAGTGCCTTGTTCCTCCCCCTCTCCCAGATGTGCACATCCGGGTGTGTGTCCCCCATCCTTCCCCATCACCCCTTCTCCTCCACACCTCCTCTCTTCTCCCCAGGCCCCTCCGGGTTCCCCACATCCCGACTCCCCCTTTTTCCCCACCTTTGCCCCATTCCAAGTGCCACTGTAACAACCCCCCCTTAACACCCTCCCCCCCCTAAAGCCTCCTATTAAAGAACCCCCTAAATAACACCTCCCGATGGACCCCTCCCCAAACTCCCCACGCCTCTACAGGGATCTCGCTAGAGGAGGCTCTTTGCTTCCCACATCAGCCCCAGCGCATTAATTAAGTGACCAATTGCTAATTACGGATTCAATGGCACCATGTGCCAATTCCCGTGTGTGCCTTCCCCCCAAATTCAAGGTCGCTGGTGCTCCCATCCCAGCACCCCCGAAGTGTCCCCAGCCCTGCCAGAGGCCCCCCGGTGTTGGGGTACGTGACCCCCTCGAGCAGCCGCGGTTCCCCGTGGGGTGGGGGGCTGACGCTGCCTTTTAGGGTTCACTGAGGGGGGTCCCGGGTGGAGGGTGATGGCAGCCCTGTGTGGTGTCACCTAATCTGGTGTGAAGCCGGGGAGCTGCTGCCCGTCTTCCTCCTTCTCCTCCCTCCAACCCGAGGACCCCCTTTTTCCTTTGCTCCCCCAAAGTCACCCCGATTCCTCTCCACCGTGGAGTCCCCACCCCATACGGGACACACCCTCTTCTACCCCCATCCCGCTCGCAGGGAAGAAGGGAGGGCACAGGGAGACCTCCATCTGCCCCCGCCCAGCACAGCCCTGGCCCGTCCCCCTACCCGGGGGCGGTGCCGCAGGCTGAGCCGAGCCCAAGTGAGCTGAGCGGAGCCGAACTGGGCTGGTATGGGCTGAGACGCTCAGGACTGAGCCGAGTCTGGCCGGGCTGAGCCGGGCTGGGCTGAGCCGAGCCGAGCCGAGCTGAGCTGGTCTTAGCCGTGCCGGGTCGTGTGGTGCTGAGCCGAGCCGAGCCGAGCCGGGGCAGGATGCTGCGGTACCTGCTGAAGACGCTGCTGCAGATGAACCTGTTCGCCGACTCGCTGGGGGCCGAAGGTTCCAACTCCTCCTCCTCGCTCCTGCTCGGCATCAACCGCTCCATCGCTGCACTCCACCTGCCCGATCTCGCCCCCGGTAATGGTACGTGGCCCCCGGTCCCCCTGTCCTCCCGTCTCGGGATTCCCGCTTCTGGTCCGGACAGGATGCTGGAAGTATCCCGCAGCCCCCCCGCCCCAGCCGGGACCCCACAGGCACCGACACTGGGCTCCCAACCTGGCCCCATGTCCCCAAACCGGGACCTGCCCCGTGTCCCCAAACTGGGACCTGCTCCGTGTCCCCAAACAGGGACTGACCCTGTCTTCCCACACCAGCCCCATATCCCCATTCTGGGACCAACTCCCTGTCCCCAGACCAACTCCCGGGAGTGATGCTGTGTGCCCAGATTGTGACCATGACCCTAAACTGAGACCAGCCTGCTGTCCCCAAGTCAGGACCGACCCAATGTCCCCAAACTAGTCCTGTGTTCCCAAATCCTCGTGCAGGAGCAGTCCCCATTCCCAAACTGTCCCTGTGTTCCTACATCAATCCCCAGACTGTGAGCTGGGACAGATATGTCATTCCCAAATTGTCCCCCTGTCCTCGGACCAATCTCCAGACCCCAAAGTGGGGGTGACCCAGTGTACCCAAACAGCCCCTATGTACCCACCCCCACCCCCAGTCTCTGAACCAGGACCAGTCCCATGTACCCAGACTGTCCCTGTGTCCCCAAACCAACTCCCAGACACCGAGTTAGGAGAGACTCTATGTTCCCAAACCAACCCTGTGTCCCCGAACTATTTCTACATTCCTAAATCATTCCAGTGTCCACCAACCAGCTCTGTGTCCCCTAGATGGGACAGAGCAGGGGGAGAGGGGGATGAGGGAGGGGGTGTCTGCCTGAGTTTTACCCCCATTTTGGGCTTTTCCCCTCTTTTTTAGTTTGAACGTCCCCCTCCAGCTGGCCCTGGGTGGCTGGTGAGGGAGGGGGTGTCCCCAAACCCCGTGGGACCCCCCGCCCCCGCACAGCTGGCTGGGCACAGAAGGGGGCCTGGCCTGACCCCCCGCTCATCCCAATTAGCCACCAGGCCCAGCTGCGGCCCCCTCAGTCCCCGCTGTGCCCCCCGGGGGTGCCCGGTACCCCGCAGCATCCCTCCCATCCCCATGGCAGCTGCATCCTGTCCCCATGGCAACCCCGCGGGCTCCCCAAATTGCAGCCCCCCCGTCACATCCCACCACAGGACTCTTCCCCTGCAGGAGCAGGGGAAAGGAGACACAAGTGTGCATGTGTGTGCATGCATGTGTGGGGTGCATGTATGTGAACGTGTGTGCATGCATGTGCATGTATGCACAGTGTGCATGTGTGTGCATGTATGTGCAGGGTGGATGTATGTGAATGTGTATGCATCCATGTCCAATGTGCATGTGTGTGCATGTGTGTGCATGTATGTGTATAGATATGCATAGATGTGCATAGATGTGCATAGATGTGCAGTATGCATGTATGTGCAAGTATGTGCCCAGCCGACCCCAGCATTAACGAACATTAATTATGCCGGCATTAATGAGCATCCATTAATTCCCATGCCCTAGCAGGGGGGATTTTCCTGCAACGGCCCCACAGACCCAATATGGGGCTTTTTTAAACTTAAGGTTAAACGTTTCCTGCAGCCCGGAGTTACTGGTTCTGCTACGGAAAATCAGAACTTGCAGATGACGGAAAAATCCCTGTTTTGGGAGAATTTAGCCCCAGCTCCATTTCCAGAATTTAGCCCCAGCTCCATTTCCACAGGGATGCCCAGTTGGAAGCTGGGTGGAAAAGGGGCTTTACTGGGAGCGGAGCTGCTCTGTCCTACTGTCCCTGTCTAAGCCTGCTCCCTTCCCACCGGCACCCACCCTGAGATGGGGCAGAGGGGGATACGCGGGGCTGAGACCTCGCCACACTTCATCTCACCTCCTGCTCTCCAAGCAAAGCAGGGGCTGGAGCCGGGAAAGCGCCGCTCAAGCCAACGGAGGATGCTCAGCCCCCCAAGCCCCACCTCCCCACGCCCCTAACTCTTCCCGTAGGGTCTCACTCTCAGCTGGAGGACACGGCTCCCCGCATCGTGGAGCACCCCACGGATCTCCTGGTCACCAAGGGGGAACCGGCCACGCTGAGCTGCAAGGCCGAGGGGCGCCCGGCGCCGGCCGTGGAGTGGTACAAAGACGGGGAGCGGGTGGAGACGGACCGGGAGGATCCCCGCTCCCACCGCACCCTCCTGCCGGGCGGCTCGCTCTTCTTCCTCCGCATCCTGCACGGGCGGCGGGGCAAGCCCGACGAGGGGGTTTATGTGTGCGTGGCCAGGAATTACCTGGGGGAGGCCACCAGCCGGAACGCTTCCTTGGAGGTGGCCGGTGAGTCCCGGGGAGAGGGAGAGGGGCTGGGCGGTGATTTGGGTGCGGGTTTAGGGGTCTGGTGTCACCGCTGAGCCCAACGCGCTCCGGTGGCTGCGCGGCGAGGGGCTCTCACATCCCCGGGCCTGGTGCTGCCAAGGGAAAAGAGGGGGAAAGAGAGAAAAATCTGTGAAAATAAATGAAAAGAAGGGAAAATGAAGTATTTGGAAAAAAAATAAAATAAGTTAAAAGAAATGGAAATTTCCGTAAGTTCAAAAGAAGTGAAAAACATTGGAAGTAAATGAAACCGAGGGGAAAGAAAAAAGAAAGAGGCAATGAATGAAAGTAGATGGAAAGAGTAAAGTGAAAGTGAGTTAAAATGAGTGAAAATAGGAGGAAAGAAATTAAAACATGGGGGGAAGAAGAAATGAAAGGAAGTGAAAAGAAGTGAATATAAATGAAAAAATAAAATAAGTGAAAATAAGTGAAGAAAAATAGAAATAATGAAAAAATGAAAATAATTGGAAATAAAGGAAAAGAAGTGAAGATTACTGAAAAGTAAATAAAATAAAATAAAATAAGTAAAAATAAGTGAAAATATATGAAAACAACATAAAATAAATAAAAAGAAGTGAAAATACTTGGAAACAAATGAAAATGAGAGTAAACAAAAATAATTGCAACAAAATAAAACCAAATGAAAATAAAATATTTGAAAATCAAGTAAAATCAATGAAGACAAATTAAAATCAACTAAAGCCAACGCAGAGGATGTGCCAGGCGCCACTGCCAGGGCTGGGGAACTGAGGGCAGGCTGGTGTGTCCCCCCAGTGCTGCGGGACGATTTCCGGCAGCCCCCCGGGGATGTGGTGGTGGCGGCGGGAGAACCGGCCGTGCTGGAGTGTGTCCCGCCCCGCGGCCATCCCGAGCCCAGCGTCTCCTGGAAGAAGAACGGAGTCCGGCTCAGCGACAAGGACGAGCATCTGACGGTGACGGACGGGGCGTGGGGGGGGCACGAAACCGGGGCCAGGGTGTTGCAGTGGGAGTGTGGGATAAGGTAGGGATATAGGGTGCAGTGTTAGTGTAGGATAAGGTAGGGATATAGGATGCAGTAGGAGTGTGGGATGTGAGAGGGATACAGAAGGGGGAAGTGGAATGCGGGATTTGATGGGGGTGCAGGATGCAAAGGGAGATTAAGGATGCAGTGAGGGTCTGGAATGTGATGGGGTGCCTGATGTGACGGGAATGCACAGGGGATTGGGGATGCGATGGCGATGTGGGATGCAGTGGAGAGTTCGGATGCAATGAGGATGTGGGAGGTGACTGGGATACAGGATGAGATGGGGATGTGGGGATGGAGATGTGGGATGCAGAGATTTGGGATGCAATGGAGATATGGGATGCGATAAGGGTGTAAGTGCAATGAGAATATGAGATGCAGTGAGGATGTGGGATGTGATGGAGATACAGGATGCAGTCAGGACAAGAGGTGCAATAAGGATTTGGGATGCAGTGGGGATATGAGATACAGTGGAGATGCAGGATGCAATGGGAATGCTGGATTTGATGTGGCTGGGGGATGTGATGTGCTTCCCACAGATCCGTGGAGGGAAGCTGATGGTGGCCAGTACCCGCAAGAGTGACGCCGGTGTCTATGTCTGTGTGGCCACCAACGTGGTGGGGGAGAGGGACAGCGAACCGGCCGAGCTGGTGGTCTTTGGTGCGTGGGGGTTATGTTTAGGGTTCTGAGGGGTGGGTGCCATCCCGGTGGGACTGACGGCTGCCCCACAGAGCGCCCGGCGTTTGGCAAGAGGCCCCTGAACCAGGCGGTGCTGGTGGAGGGGACGGCAGAGTTCGCCTGTGAGGTGGTGGGGGATCCCCAGCCAGCAGCGCGGTGGTACAAGGAGGAGGGTGAGATGCCACTGGGAAGGTGAGCAGGGGGTGAGGGGGCTGTTGGGGGGCATCAGGGCCATCAGTGCAGGGCTCTGCATTGCAGCTGGGTGGCATTACTGTGTGCCAGCCTGGCATCCCCATGACCTCAAGTACCCCCATCACATCCTATATCCCCGGTGCACCCTCCATCCTCAGCACATCCTGCATCCCTATTGCACCTCAAGTCCTCATTGCATCCTGCATCTCTGTTGCATCCCACACCCCCATCACATCCCATACCCCCATCACATCCCACATCCTCACCACATTTCACATCCCCAGTGCATCCCTCATTGTCCTTGCATCCCAGATGCCTGTTGCACCCACATCCCCATCACATCCCTCATCCTCACTGCATCCCAACCCCATGGCACCCCACGCTGTCCTGATGCCCTGGCACTCTGCTGGCTCCACGTTCTTGTGGGGTTCCCTCCAGGTGGGAGGTGCTGCCGGACAATACCCTGCGGATCAGCCGGCTGCGAGCAGAGGATGAGGGCACCTACACCTGCGTGGCCGATAACAGTGTGGGCAGGTCAGAGGCATCTGGCACCCTCACCGTGCATGGTAAGGGGGGCCCTGGGGAGCCTCCTTGGGTGCTTGTGGAGTGCCCGGGCAAGCCCTTGTCTCTCCCCACACTGTGGCAGTGCCCCCCCAACTCATCACTGGGCCCCGTGACCAGGCTGTCACCCCTGGCCAGAGCGTGACCTTCCAGTGCCAGAGCAAGGGCAACCCACCGCCAGCCGTCTTCTGGCAGAAGGAGGGGAGCCAGGTCTGTGCCCATCTCTGTCCACATCCCTGTCCCCATCCTTGACCCTAGACCCAGCCACAGCCCCGTCCTTATCCCAGTCGCCACACCATCCCTCTCCCCATTCCATCCTCCTCCCAATCCCATCACTGTCATCTTCCATTTCCATTCCACCTCATCGCCATTAACATCCCTGTTCCAATTCCCACCCCATCAGCATCTCATCCCCATCCCAATCTCGATCCATCTCATCCTCATCCCAGTTCCCATCCTCATCCCCACCTAGTCCCCATCACCATCCCATCTCACTCCCTATCCCATCCCTGTCCCCATTCCACCCTGATCCCAATCCTCATTCCATTCCATTCCATTCCATTCCATTCCATTCCATTCCATTCCATTCCATTCCATCCCCATGGCCATCCCTGTCCCCACCTTGTCCCATCCCACTCCTCCCTCCTCCCCCACTCAGCCTTCTCCCTCCCCAGACCCTGCTGTTCCCGGGCCAGCCCCCACTCCCCTCCAACCGTGTTTGGGTGAGCCCCGACGGTGCCATGACCATCACCGACATCCAGCCCGGTGACGCCGGCCACTACCTGTGCCAGGCCATCAGCGTGGCTGGCAGTGTCCTGGCCAGGGCACGCCTGGAGGTGTCGGAGGGTAAGTATGGCACCAGCAGAGAACCAGCGCATTTGGTGCAGGAGTGGCACCCACCACACCCCCCAGCAATTCCCGGTTTCCCCCCTGTAGCACCCACCGAGCTCCACCCGCTGGGGGTCAGCCCCCTTCCCGCTAACCGGATGGTGCTACCGGTGGGGGCCACGGCACGGCTGCCTTGTGGGGTGGGGGGCGGTGACCCCCCAGGCAGCGTGGGGTGGCTGAAGGATGGCAGTGCCCTGGTGGGTGCCCAGCCCCGTGCCAGCCTGCTGGAGAATGGCACCCTGCAGATCACCGGCCTCCGGGTGAGCTGGCCCCAGCAGGGGCACCCATGGGAATCCTACAGGGAGGGGAGGGGAACAGTGAGTGTGGGGGGGTGATGCAAAAGGAGGTGGGTGCTCAAGGTGGTGGGTGCAAGCAGCGCTGGGGCTCAGGGTGATGGGTACAAAGGGTGGTGGGTGCAAGAGGGTGTGTGTGCAAAGGGAGAAGGGTGCTCAGGGTGATGGGTACAAAGGGGGGTGGGTGCTGAGGTGATGGGTGCTCAGGGTGATGGGGCAGGAGCTCTTCCCCCCACAGGTGAGAGACTCTGGGCTCTATGAGTGTGTGGCCACCAGCCCAGTGGGCGAGACACGCTGGGGCAGCTCCCTGGAGGTGCAAGGTGGGTCACAGGGATGTCACTGCTCCGGGAACACCATAGCACCAGGGACAAAGTAATCCCAGGCCTCCATGCATCTCCCTGCAGGTGATGAATCTGACCTCTCCCCACCTTCCCCTGTGCCTGGAGTCCTCCCTGGGCCACCCTCCACCCCTGTGGTCACCAATGTCACCAGAAGCAGCGTCACCCTGAGCTGGAAAGCAAACAAGGACAGCGATGCCACCCATGTCAGTTCTTACATAGTGGAGGCTTTCAGGTATCACTCAAGTATTTTCTCTGGCTGCAGCGATGATGTGGTGGCCTGGTACCACCCCGTCCCGGATCACCCCTGTCCCTTGGCAGCCAGGCGGCGGGCGGCCCGTGGCGGACGGTGGCAGCCGATGTGGAGGGGGAGACCCACACAGTGAGCGGCCTCGTCCCTGACACCGTCTACCTGTTCCTGGTGCGGGCGGTCAATGCCTACGGGCTCAGTGACCCCAGTGGCGTCTCAGAGCCTGTGTGCACCCAAGGTGAGACCCAGCAGCCACATCGGTGGAGGTGTCTGTGAAACCATCATCCACCTCCACTTGGTGGCACCAACGGAGGTGCCCGTGCACCCAAGATCTTCGGGTCCATCCTTGCCCACTGGTGCCAGTGGAGTTTCCCATGTACCTGCCATGGGAATGTGGTGTCACCGTGGCCTCTCCACTTGGTGATGCCTGCGGGGATGCCCATGGACCCTCTATTCCCTCATGCTTCCAGCAGATGCCAGCCCCACTCAGCAAGGGCTGGACCCTGAGCAGGTGCAGCGGGAGCTGGCCCAAGTGGCCGTGCACCTGCAGGAGCCCGTGGTGCTGCCGCTGGGTGCCGTCCGCCTCTCCTGGACCGTGAGTGCCGCCCCCCACTGCCAGCACAGGGCTCCCGGTTCCGAGCATCCCCCCATCCCACCCTCCCGTTGGGCCCACAGGTGGAGCGCCCAGCGCCCTTCCTTCAGGGCTACCGCGTGCTGTACCGGCGGCGTGGTGGGCGCTGGGAGGAGGCGCGGGCGGTGCGGGGGCCGGAGGAGCGAGGGGCCCTGCTCACCGAGCTGCGCCGCGGCCAGGACTACGAGGTCAAGGTCCAACCCTTCTTCCGTCAGCTCCACGGTCCAGACAGCGCCGTGCGCGCTCTGCGCACCCCAGAGGCGGGTGAGTGCGGGAGTGGAGGGGGAGGTGGGGGTCCCCAGGGGACAACCTGGAGGTGACACCCCCTGTGTCCCCCACCGGCAGCTCCCAGCGCCCCCCCGAGAGCTGTCAGTGTGGCTGGGAATGGCACCAGTGTCCGCATCTCGTGGCAGCCACCACCACTGGCCGAGCAGAACGGCGTCATCCGGGATTACCGGGTAAGGGTGGACAGCAGCAGGGACGAAGCAGGTCCCCTCTGTCCACCCATGGCACCATGTCATGGTGTCCCTCATATTTTCCCCCCTGCTCCCAGATTTGGTGCCTGGGCAACGAGAGCCGTTTCCACATCAACCAGAGCGTGGAGGGGACGGTGCTGGCGACAGTGCTGCGGGGACTGGTCCCTGGGGTCCCTTACCACGCCGAAGTTGCTGCCGCCACTGGCGCCGGTGTGGGCGCTCGCAGCGCTCCTGTCCCCATCCGCATCGGTGAGTCTCTTGTTGCCACGGCCGCACCGACGGGTGGGGGACGGTGGGGGTCACTCAGTGCGGTGCTGCGGGTGGCTCCTCGGCACCCTCCCTTCCCATGTCATTCGCAGCCCCCCCGGTGGAGCGGGATGCGGGGCCAGCAGGCGGGAGCAGCATGGCCGAGCGTTTGGCTGAGGTGGCAAGGCAGCCAGCCTTCATCGCCGGCGTCGGCAGCGCCTGCTGGGTCGTTCTCGCCGCCTTCGCCGCTTGGCTCTACAGCCGCCGCCGGAGGAAGAAGGAGCTCAGCCACTTCACCGGTACAGAGAGGGTGCTGCCCCTGGGACCCCCCCACCCCTCATCCATCACCCACCAACCACCTACTTCCCTTCTCTTTACAGCGTCCTTTGCCTACACACCCACCGGTAAGCCCGTAGGTGGCGCGGGGTCCCGGCGCGGACTCTCGCCGCCCTCAACCCCCTCTCTTTCCGCAGTCGCCTTCCCGGCTCCAGGGCGCGGCAGCCCCAGGTAAGCCCCCGGCTATCCCCCGCCCTCCCCAGGAGCCCCAGCTCTGACCACCAGCATCCCTTTACCCCGTCTTCTTGCAGGGCAGCGGCCGGCAGCGGTTACCCGTGGCTGGCGGACGCGTGGCACGGTGGCGGCACAGCTAGTGCTGCCGGTTGCTTGGGCACCGCTGAGAGATACTACAATGGTGAGGGGTCAGCACGGGGACGGCTGGGTGGCTCTGAGTGGGGGGTCATGGTCAGCCCTGATGGTGCCAGCTGCCCTCTGCAGACGCCGGTATCACCCGTTACATCGCCCAGACGGAGCAGTTTGGGGCGGGGGCCGGCGAGGGGCCGGTTTACAGCACCATCGAAGTGGACAGTGAGGAGATCTGCACCTTCCCCCGTCCCTTCTCGCAGTATGGGACCCCCTATCCCGGGATGAGTCCTCAGCCGATGGATGCTGCAGCCTCCCAGGCACCCCGAGGATGGGCTGAGCACGGTAGGGTGGTGGGATGGGTGGGGGGACACAGGGGAGCAGGTGGTGTGGTCCCCTCCCCACAGCCCCCCCAGCATCCCTCCTTGCCGCAGGGGCCAAAGCAAAGCTGGGGCAAGCAGTGAAACTGCCAGCTGTGAGTTGGACAGAGCTGCTGCCCCCTCCACCCTCGGCCAGCGAGCTTAGCCAGTGCACCCAGGAGAAGGAGGAGGAGGAGGAAGAGGAGGATGAAGAGGAGGAGGCAGCTGGAGGGTGAGTGTGGAGGCTTGGGGGGGCAGGGGCGTGCTGTTGCCAGCATGCACCCTGTGGTCTCTGCCCTGCAGGTCAGAGATGGAGGTGTGGTACCCTGGTGAGGACGTCCCCTGTGCCACCGCTGCATCCTCACCCACCACCTCCTCTGGCTGCCGGTCCCCCACCATGCTGACACCATTGCCCTGCGCCACTGAGGACATTCCCCGCCTCCGTGACTTCGACAGCTCCCGCCTGCCCCGGTAAGAGATGGGCCTCTCTTGGTATGGCCGTGCCATTGGGGTTTGGATGTCCCTTTGGGGTCCAGGTGTCCCACCATGGTTTGGGTGTTCTGTTGTGATTCAACCATGTTGTGACTATCCAGTCCTGCTGTGCCATCATCGTTCAATTGTCTCACTGGGGTCCAGATGTTTCATAGGGGTCCAGATGTTCCATCACAATCCATCCATTTTGTCACCATTCAGTCCTGCTGTGCTGTCATGGTCCAGCCATGACATTGAGGTCCAGATGTGCCATCTGAGGTCCGGGTGTCCCATCACAATCCAGCCATGTTGTCGTGACCCAGTCCCACTGTTCCCCCATGGTCTGGCCTTGCCACTGGAGTCAGAATGTCCCACCAGGGTCTGGATGACCCATCACAGTCTGAGTGTCCCATCACAACCCAGCCATGTTGTCACAATCTGGTCCTGCCATGCCACCACGGTCTGGCCATACCATGGGGGGACTGGATGTCCCGCTGGAGTCTGGATGTCCCACCGCGGTCCAGCTGTCCTTTGTGATACATCCATGACATCACCATCCATCCCTGTTCTCCAGCTGTGCCCTGGCCATGCTGCCAGGACATGCCCACGACAGTGTCAGCTGACTGGGGCATAAAAATTCTACTGTACCATCACAAGCCAGCTGGGACATCATCATCCAGCTGTGCTGTCGTGGCCCAGCTCTGCCATGATCCAGCAGTGCCATCCCAAGCCAACAGTGCCATCACAATGCTGGCACATCACTGTGCTCCAGCTGTACTGTTGCAATCCAGATCTGTGGTTGCAATCCAGCTGTGCCGTGATCCAGCTGTGTGGCTGCGATCCAGCTGTGACATCAGGGGCCAGCTGCATCATTGCCGTCCAACTGTGTGCTTGAAATCCAGTTGTTCTGTGACCCAGCTGTGCAGCTGAAAGGTGTAATCCAGCTGAACAGCCGTTATCCAGTTGTGCTCCAGCTGTGCCACTGCATGCTGGCTGTGCCATTACAACCTTGTTTATGATCCAGCTGTGCTCCTCCCCTCCAGCTGTGCCACTGCACTCATCCACCTGCCCTTTGCCAGCCCAGCTGTGTGACAGCGATCCAGATGTGGCACTGCCATCCAGCTGTGGTGCTTCAGCCCACCCACACCAGTGCCATCCAGCTGTGCCAACACCCCGTGCCTTCCCCTGGCTCCAGCACAGCTCTGAAGGAGTTGTGAGCTTCATCCCACCCCCACCCCCCCTTTGCCAGGAGACCCCCCCACAGCACCGGCACCCCCCCCCAGGCACCCAGTCTCGCGGCGACTCCGGATGCCAGCGAGGGCCCCCCACCCCGAGCCCGCTGCCCCCTCGGCACAGGTGAGCCCTGGGGCGCTGCTTTGGGTGGGTGGGCACCGCACCGGCTACGTGGGGAGGCTGACACTGCCATCCCCCCCCAGGGAAACAACGCGGGGCGGCCCCTAAAAGCCGCCTGAAGCCCAAACGCAGCCGCTACTGCCGGGAAAAGCAGGCGGGAGGTGAGTTGGGGGAAAAAATAGGGGCTTCAGGTGTGTCCAGAAGGGCTCAGCCTTCTCCTCCCTCTCCACCTCAGACCTGCCGCCGCCGCCACTGCCGCCGCCGGGCGAGACCCCCGGCCCCTCTCCGGAGCGGGAGCCCAGTGGAGCCGAGCGCAGGGTCCCCCATCGCCCAACCCGCGGTGGTAAGGCAGGGACACCGGCTGTGCGACAAAGGGGCTGGGGTGTCACTGCCGACCCCCAACCTTGTTCCCTCCCCTGCAGGCGAGCTCGTCCCCTACAGCAAGCCCTCCTGCCTGCCCCGCGGGCAGGTGTCTGGCAGCTGCTCCACCACAGGCAGTGTCTCGTCCCGCGGCTCCGCCAGCTCCCGCGACCACGGCTCGGGGCGCAGCCGCGTCCCTGGGGACCGCGGCGAGGGGACCGGCCAGCGCCGCCGCCCGGGGGCCACATTGCCCGGCCCGTCGCTGGAGAAGCGATAAAGTGGAGGGCAAGCCGGTGACAGGGTTGGGGACACGGGGGACACGGAGGGACGTTCTTTAATTTCTGGGTGGCACCATGTAAATAGTTGCACAGAGCCGGCGGCCGGTGGGCGTCAGAGTAAGGGGGGACAGGGCTGCTCGGGGTGGGACAAGGATAATCACAAAGGATGAGGACCCTGGGGAAGGACAGAGATACTCAGGGAGGGAGGAGGATACTTGGGGAGGGATGATGACCCTGGGGACAAAGACGATAGGGAAGCATAAAGATACAGTTCGGAGGATGAGGATGCTTGGGGAGACCAAGGACAGTCATGAGGAATGAGGACCCTGGGAAGGGGTGAGGATGCTCAGGAGGGACAAGGAAGACGCTCAGGGAAGGAGGAGGAGCCTGGGGACAGAGACAGTTGCTCGGAGAGGGATGAGGATGCTGGGGAAGGATGAGGATGCTGGAGAGAGATAAGCATGATGCTTAAGTAGAGCAAGGATCCCGGGTACAGGGACAGTTTGGAGGAACAGGGACACTGGGAAAGGACAAGGATGGCTGTGAGGGATGAGGATGATTGAAATGGATGAGGACAGCTGGGATGAGATTACAAGGGAGGGACAAGGACACTGCAGATAGTTTAGGGTGCTGGTGAGTGACAAGGAAGGCAGGGGGACAAGGATGCCTGGGGGCAAGAGGACACAGGGAAAGGACAAGGTTGCTTGGGAAGGACAAGGTCAGTAGTAAGGGATGAGGAGGATAGTTGCAGGGGGATGAGGACAGTGGGAAGGGACAAGGACACTTGGTGTGTGGGGCAAAAACAATTAGAGAAGGATGAGGACACTCAGGAGGGCTGAGGACCCTCAGAATGAGGATGATTAGGAGAGACAAAGACACTCGGAGGAGGCACAGATGGCTTGGGAAGGATGAGGATACTTGAGAGGGACAAGGATGGTTGAGGTGGGACAAGGATGCTGAGGAAGGATATGGACTATCAGAAAGGACAAGGACAGTTGGGAGAAATGGGAATGGTCACTGGGCCTGGGGATGGTCAGGGGGACAACCCTGGGGAAGGACAAGGACTCTCGGGATGGACAACAGTGCTTGGGCTGGACAAGGAAAGTTGCGGGGGACAAGGATGCTGGGGAAGGAGGAGGGCACTGGGGAGGGATGAGGACACTGGGGAGGGATGAGAACACTTAGAGGGCATGAGGGTTCTTGGGGAGGATGAGGATGCTGGAAAGGAATGAGGAATTTGGGAAAGTATGGGGACACTGAGGAGGGATGGAACATTTGGGAAGGGCAAGAACACTGGAGAAGGAGGGACACCCACCCACCTTGGTGCCACCCACCCTTTGTGGGTGGCTTTTCCTAGTAAAGAGCTCCTTTTTGGGGAACTAACTAATAAAACTGGATTTTAGCCGAGCCAAGAAGACTCTGGCCTTGCTGCGTCCTGCACCCTGGGGACCTCCACACTCCTGTCTCTCCTGTCCCCAGCTCGCCACCTGCCCTGGCCCAGGGGCTGCCACTCCCTGATCCCTGGACACCTGGGAAGAAAAGGGGACATTTTCCAGCACCCCACAACAGATGGGACTCCCACTCCCAGTGCCCGTCACTCCAGTGTCGGGGCACCACTCACCATTCTGTGTGATGCCCAGAGCTACCTCTGCCCCAACTCTCTGTGGGACCCCCAGGGCTGTCCCCCAGTCCCAGATGGTGGTTGGGACCCCAGGTGAGAAGCCCCGCTCCAAGGGTGATGGTGGCGGTGAGGGACCTGCAGGAGATGGTGGCATCACCATGGTGACATGGCAGAGACACCTTCCCCAGGGAGGTGATGATCCTTGGGGTCAGAGAGGGGGTCAGGGACTCTTCACTCACCCCTGTAAGCCCCGTCAGTGTCCTCAAGGCTGTAGCAGAGGCCGTCGACGGCCACGGCCAGCGCGCGGGCAAAGCTGGCGTCCAGGAGGAAGGAGCCATCGCAGGAGCTCACCAGGCTGCAGCGGGCGCTGGCAAAGTTGTCCTCTGAGACGGACCCCCAGCCGTTCAGCAGAGACCCCCCCGGAGAGCCCCTTGTCGCTGTCCGCTCCTCCTCGTCCTCTTCCTCCTCCTCCTCCCCCTCCTCCTCCTCCTCCTCGCCCAGCTCAGAGGCCGGTGGCCCGTAGATGTAGCCGTAGGTGTGCAGTGGTGAGAGGGACTGTGGCGTGGTTGGTGCCGGGGGTCTGTGGGGGATGTCGTGGGGACACTAATGTCACCGGGGGGCGCTGCCATCGTGGGACTGTCCCACGGGGATGGGGAATACCTGAGGCAGGCGGTGTCCTGGTCCATCTCCAAGTCCTCAGCCACCTGTTGTTGCGTGAGAACCCCGTCGCTGAATGCTGGCGAGAGGCGCCCGGTGACTGGGGACCTGTCCCTTGGGTGCCTGGTGTCTGAGGACATGTCCCTGGGGTATCTGGTAGCCAGGAACATGTCCCTTGGTTGCCTGACCTCCAGTGATGTGTTCCTGGTGTGGCTAGTGGCTGGGGACATGTCCTTGGGGTACCTGGTGCCCAAGAACATGTCCCTCTGATGACTGGTTACTGGGGACACCTCTTCAGGATGCCTGGTGACTGGGGATGTGTCCCTTATGTACCCAGTGGCTGGGGATGTGTCCTTTGGATGCTTTGTGGCAGGTGACATGTTCTCAGGGTACCTGGTGACCATGAATATCATGAAGGGACATCCCTTGTCATCAGTGATGAATCCCTGGCATGCCTGGCAGCTGAAGACATGCTCTTGGGGTACCTGATGCCCAAGAAGTTGCCCCTGCGATGCTCAGGGGCTGGTGACATCTCCTCAGGGTGCCTGGTGACTGGGGATGTGTCCCTGGGGTGCCCAGTGGTTGGCAATGTGTCCTTGGGATGCCTCATGGCTGGTGACACGTTCTCAGGGTACCTGCTGGACAGGAGTATGTCACTTGCATGCCTGGTCACCAGTGATGGGTTCCCGGGGGACCTGTTGTATGGGGACATGTCCTTAGCATACCTAGTGGCCAAGAACTTGTCCCTGCAGTGCCTGGTAGCTGGGGACATCTCCTTGGGGAGCCTACTACCTGGGGACATCTCCTGGGGCAGCCTCGTGCCTGGGGATGTGTCCCTTGGGTGCCGGCTGGCTGGGGACATGTCCTTGGGGTGCCTAGTGGATGGGGACATGTCTCTCTGGCACTTGGACCCTGGTAATGGGTCCCTGGGGCACCTCATGAGCAGGGATGTGTCCTCAGGGGGCCTGGCAACCAAGACTATGTCCCTCTGGTGCTTGGTGGCTGGTGATGTGTCCTTGTGGTGTCTGGTGGCTGGTGACACGTCCCTGAGATTCCTGGGGACTGGGGACACATCCTTGGGGTGCCTGCTGGCCAGGAGCATGTCCTTGGGGTGCTCAGTGACCAGGGACATGTCCCTGGGGTGCCCTGTGGCCAGTGACACATCCCTGGGGCTCTCAGTGGTCAGGGATGTGTCCCTGGGGTGTTGGGTGAGTGGAGGTGTGTCCCTGGGGGTTCCAATGGCCGGGGACATGTCCTCGGTGTGCCTGGTGACTGGGGATGTGTCCCTGGGGCACACGGTGGCTGGGGACCTGCAAGTGCAAGCAACTCGTTGGGTTTTGCAGTACGGGGTTTGGGTGCAGGGTGCCCATCTGGACACCCAGACTCACCGTGTCACTGGTGGGTGCCGGGCATGGGGTGGTCTCGGGGGTGTCACTGGTGACCCGGTGACACCGGAGGCCAGCGAAGCACTGCCCCGACGTGGTTTTGGGGAGATGAAGACCGGCAGCCGCCCGTCCCCGCCGTCCATCATGGCAGCAGTGGTGTCACCCTCTTGTCCCCTTTGCTGAGGCCATCTGGCTTCCGGCCCAAACTCTGTCCCCCACTCACCTCCGCTTCCAGTGGCAGGGACGTGGCTGGGGCCACCCGTGAGCACTGGGGTGCTGTGCACTTGATGCAGCTCTGTGTGGGGAATGTGGGATACTGAGCCGTGGGTCACCTCCCCGGCACCCCCCATGTCCCCCTCGTGACCCCCATACCCACCTCTCTTGCGGATGTGCTCCCAGGGCGCTGGGTTCGGGGTGCTGGGCGAGGTGTGCACCCCAGGGTGCCCCCCACTGCAGCACCCCCTGTCCCCCAGGGGTGGATGCCCCCTGCGGAGGCTGCTGCGGGTGGGGGGCGTGGGGGGGCCAAGGCTCGACGGCTCCAGGGAGAGGGCTGGGAGGGTGAGAGAGGTCATGGATGCTGAGCTGTGTGCCCCTTGTTCCCTCTGTCCTTGGGTCTGTGTGTCCTCAACTTGCTGCCTGCAGACAGGCAGTGGGGGCCACCGAGGTGGGGGTCCCATGGCACGGGGATCCCAGGCAGGGCGTTGGGGTCTTGGGCACACTTCGCTGGTCCCATAGACTCTGTGAGGGTCCTAGGCCTGGGTGGGGGTTCCCATGGTAGCAGGTCAGGGGTCCCATGGAACTGGGTGGGGATCCAACGACATCACGTGGGAGGCCTACTGGGGTGGGTGGGGGTCCCATGGTACTGGGTGGGGGGCCCCGAATACCCTGTGTGGGGGTTCCATGCAGAGAGTGGGGTCTCTATGACACCGGGTGGGGGTCCCAGCCCTAGGGATCACTGCAGGGGTGGGGGTCTCATGGCTCTAGGTGGGGGTCCCAGCTCCCAGGGGGCTCACTGGAGGGGTGGGGGTCCCTGCCGTCACTGCCCAGCAGTCGGCTGCTGAGGCTGCTGCTGCTGCTGAGGTTCCGGGGGGCACAGCTGGGTTTCCAGGGGCTACCAAGCCACGGTGAGTCACCGACCACCAGCCTGCAGGGCAAGGCATGCTGTCAGGGCATCCCATCCCCACCATGCCAGGGATCTCCCGCTTCTCCCACCCCACAACCGCTCACCTGCGGCGAGCTGCGGCATCTTGGCTGGCGCGACGCTGGCAGAGGAGGAGGAGGAGGGCAAGTAAGGCCAACCAGAGCATGGAGCCGGCGGCTGCGATGACAGCAGGCT